AGACGGCCAGTGGGAGCCAGCCCAGGCCCCTGCCCTGCCCAGAGTCCAGCTCACGCCTTCCAGCAACCCCATTGAATTGCCCAGAGCCCAGCCCACGCTTTCCAGTAACCCCATCAAATTTTCTAGTATTCACGACACACTGACCACACATTCTTTTTTCTTTCTAGGGAAGCAGACTGTCGCATTCTGAGTGACTGTCACATACTGGCATGTAACCCCTTGCTGAGCAGAGCGGTTTCCTGTTGCCCCTTGCTTCCTCTGACCAGGGGTGGTGGGACAGGCTCCAGGCTCCTCCACGGAGGGTCCTTGCAGTCCTGGGTTCTTGTCACTCCTGTTTCTGTTCTCTCGGATGCAGGAAGCAACCAGCTGGGTCCCATCTATGGACACACGTCCGTGACGGCTGGCAGCCTGCTGGATGACCACCACTGGCACGCAGTGGCCATCGGGCGGCAGGGCCGCAGCATCAACCTGACTCTGGACAGCAGTACTCAGCACTTCCGCACCAACGGCGACTTTGACTACTTGGACCTGGACTACGAGGTGAGAGGGTGGGGTGGAGGCTGCGGAAAACACACGGCCCCGTGACCTGTGGTTCCCCCAGGATTGTTCGTGTACCCACCCCTGCATTCTGCTTTATCCTCCAGCCAGAAATGAACTCAGAGCTTTAGTAATGTCCCTTACTGCATTCATTCCCAAGTATTTACTCGTGAGTACTTACGGGGCTTCCAACATTGGCCTCAAAGAAATTGAAGAAAGGAGCCATTTGTCATGCCATCAGCACCACTGAGTATGTTTAGAATGAGTTTAAGTTGTGATCTTAAGTAATTAATTCTGCGTTCTGGATTATAGCATTTAGTGTTAGTCGTTCATCAGTTGTCAGTGACAAGTCATTTGACAGTTTCCATTTTCTCAACTATAATCATCAAGGGAGTAAAGTAAAACAGTATTTTAAAGAGATTGTTTATAGATAGGAAGGTGTGTTTTACCCTCAAATGTTTAGAAATTAAAGCTGTCTACTGATCATGTTGCCACAGTAAGAGAAACATTCTGATAATTTACTGGCAGGCAGACATGCTTTGGGTTTTTTTTGTTTATTTTGTTTGTTTGTTGTTATTTTAAATATATACATTAGAGAGAATTTAGCCTTAAAGTGTGCATGGAAAGTGGCGGTCGCCTGTAGGGGCAGGAGTTCTGCCAGCTGATTTGCATGGAAGTGGTATTTTCATTAGGGGAACGGGATGAGATGCAGTCTGCCAGCAAAAGAAGCGGGTCAAAGTACCATCCAGCCAGAGTTCCCCTGAGGGTGTCAGCTCACTGATCATGCAGTTCTTGGGAACCTTTCCAAAGCAGCCCTGGTCCAGACAACTGGCCACATACTCATGTCCTCACCACATCTGGAGCACTTTGCAGGGGTGAGGTCCAGACAACTGACCATGTATTCATGTCCTCAAACATCAGCTACAAGAAAAGCAGGGTTTTATTTTATTCTCAAGCAGCAATAGTAACTTCCTGAGAGGATGAGTGGCCTGCTTGTCAACTGCTCAGATTTTGGGTTAGACTTGAGAGCTCTTTCCTCGTTTTCCATTCCTTTTACTTTC